GACGGAAAGATAGTTATCAGTATCATTCGAAGAACAAAACGGAAAATGAACTTCTCCGCTGGGATAGTTTTCAAGCAAAATAAGTCAAATATAAATCTAAACTTAAATAAAACGCTTGAGAGTCATAGCAAAGCGGCATATCCACTCTCTCGGTGCTTACCTACCATTCATTTTTAATCATGATAGAGCATGGTAAATCATTTTGTTCTGTACCCTTCAAACAGAAAAAATTTCATCTATGTGTTATTTCATCCTATATATATTATTCATTTGATATTTCTATACATTCCATATATTCTGTCCATCCATAAGTCTCACCATCACTTCGAGAAAGGCATTCCAATTAGATGAACAAACACGAAAACTTTGGTTTCCGATCCTGCATCAGTCCTTTCTTCTCCATCTGTCATATGGCTAGATGTGACTACCATGGTTGAAGTAGGATGTTAAAGTTTCTATACCTCTGAGAAGATGATAATTTCCGGAGATGTGCCTGGAAATTATCTATATTGCCATCGAACTTCCGGAATCAACATTCAAAGCTGTCGCCAACAAAATACGACAGATTCGTTGTTGTTCCTACTCTGCAAGGGGATTAAGTGATCATGGTCCTTAAATAACAGTTAAATTAATAACTGTCCTATTATTACTTTATATTTTCAGCCTAATTATAATTGCGTATGAAGTCTAGTTTTTAGAAAAGAATGAAACAAGTCATTTCATATGAGAGTAAAAAAACATCAAACCACTTTTCACTCAAGTAATTGACAAGAAAAGTCAAGAAAGTTGTGAGTCGTAAAATGGAATGAGAAATGCCGCGCCAGAAGTATTTGACGCTTGATAGACCAGTGCGTTACGACTGAACCCTCAAAATTTTAAGGTCAGCTGAGGTAGAATTTATGATTTCATGAGATTAATTCAGTTTTCAACTAGCAGACAATCTCAGTATCTATTAATGTAGCGCTATGGTATTTTCTAAAAATTTTTAATTTATAACCTATTTTAGTTAACCGTAAAAAGTCGAGAACATTTTCTGTTGTCAAATGGAAAATGGAACGACAAACACTACGTCAGGATAATGACCTTGAAATTCTGAATGCTCCGTTTTTCACCTTGACACTTTATGATCTATCGAGCTACTAATGCCCTTAATGTGAACAAACACTGAGCATTCCGAATTTCCAGTTAAAGATTCCGTTACAACGTAGAGATTCAGCGGTGAACACGTAGAATTTTCAATGTAAAAAAGTAACTGTAATTCCTCCGTTGCAGGACCGAGCCCGGATGAGAGAGGTTGAGGGTTGGAGACTGTGGAGATGACTCCCGTAAGACTTAGCCACCCACCCCTCATGGTGTTGCCCTTCTCGAAAATTACACGGGGTCTGTCGTCGCCCGGGTTACCAAGAGCCGTGCATGCAATTGCAGAACTGAAGCAGGCTCTAAAAAATAGTCGATCAAACCTGCTTCACGCCTTCTGGCAACTGGAGATGTAGCAGCTGCCGAAAGTCCAGAAGAAGAGGAAGAAAATAACAGTCAGCAACTTAGTGGCTACCCGTTCTGAACTGAAAGGAAAGATAGTGCAATGCCATTGTGCCATCGCAGGTACGGGTGCACGGGGACAGTAGTGACAAATCACAGTCGTAAATTTGGAACATCTCCTCACTAAGAGGTAAAAGGCAGAATCTAGCTGGTGAGGTCGGAAGGTACTGCCAGGACGTACTTGGAGTCTCGACAACAAAGCGTCAGGATTCTGAAACTCTAAACCTCTGTCGGTGCAAAATATTCTTTTCAGTTGTCTACGTCACGACACGCTGATATTGCTGTTCACCTAGAACACCAATTTGTCTAACACAACTATTCGATTGAAGCCTGTCAACGGAAGAGCTGCAATCAATCATCCAGCTGAAGTTACAGCAGGCTAAAGCTCTGGCTTTCCCAGAGGTCTATGTGTCCGATTCCGAGAGATAATTTGCATTCTTCCGGTATGACGTAGAAAGTGCTATATGTCAAGTGCCGATTATGGAATCCATAGTTTAAACGGGCGATTTCAATGCGCGTGTCAAAGCGGAAGGGTGTGATGAGAAAGAACGGCCCCAGCAACCTTAACAACTCCAGAATGAAGTTGCTGCGGTTTAGTAGGAACAACGCACTCTCTAATGGATACTTTCCTCAAGCATCGAACCCTGGACCAGTATACCTGGTGCGGGAGACTAGTGCACAGAACTCGATGATCGATTTAATAATCGTATCGCCTCATTTACGACGTACTCTGACAAATGTTGGCGCTGACAAGCTCATCATTTTGCCGTTTGCACTCTCTTCTGTTAGCGATGTGTACCTGCGCATAAAACAGCTATAGGAAGAAATGAGAAACAATTACTTCTGCCGATACGATGGCAAAATTTACAAACAGCACCGCATGACGGTTTTAACAGATCCAAGTGATAGCCACTGAAGGAAACTCTTTATGGCCTGCTGCACGAAGGTCATAAATGGAACTTGTGTCATTTTGGTGAACCTGGGCTATTCAGTTGGCTGTCAGCGAGAAGAAGACTGCATTCAAGAGATGGCTTGGAAGTAAAGAGCCTTCAACTTGAATGCAATGCGATGAGTGCAATGCTCACAATGCAGTAGCTAAACTAGTCGCCAAATTGATAGCTGGTTCCTGCAGCAAGTTCGGGTGTTGTGTTGAAGACGATTTTCTAGACGGCAAGCAAAGTGTTTTGGCAGATCATCCGCCGTCTCCGAGAAGCATAGTTTGAGAATCGTTAGAGACGAGTCCTACAGTATAGCTTATAGAGTCTTCTTCGAGATGATAGAAATGGCAGTTTGAAAGACTTGAAGGAATGTGCGGAAGTCCGATTACCAAGGGTAAGGAAGTGTTCAGTGATGAAAAGAGTATTTCGAGGGATTCCTTATCCGACTTGAGGAACCGCAGGAAGACTGGCTTGAAGAGCAATAAGCAAAGAATATTTGTCTTTGAGTATGCAAAGTCGCAGAAGTATTAATAGCTTCAAAAGTGCTGGAGTCGATGACACCTGCCATGAGATGCTCAACTCAATAAAGCGAACAAGACATTTTTGGGACTAATACGAATTGAACTGCAATGGCAACGGGAAAACACTGCTTGACTTGGAAATAGGGATTTGAGTACCGCTGCTTAAAAAAATGCCATCAACAGTTTTCCAATTATTAGCGCATTACCTTATTCTGCCACCGGGAAAAGTTCACGCAAACAGATGTGGTAGATCAAGCGTCGCAGAATAACTGGCCATAAGATACACGAAAAGCGAGTGGCCTCAGCAGCAGTAGAAACAACTCTTACCAGATCTTCGCAATCGATGGCAATCTTTCGATGTTAAAGAAAATCGTGGCAGTTCGTTAATCCGGTTTACATGTGCTTTGTAAACCTAAAAAAGCCTGTAAC